ACTTCATATGCCAAGAATGAGTTCGTATTTAAATTTGAAATTTTAGATCCAGCACCCGTTCGCAAAACCACCAATCGCTCTTCATTACTATGGGACAATGGTAGGAACTGCTGGCTTGCAATGTCACTGTGGAATAGTCGTTGTTCACGAAAAAAATCCAGAAATTCTGAAAAGTGGAATTTTACGCACGCTGATTTCACTGCTCAACTCTCCGGGACTGTAAAGCCTTTCAAATGGCGTGATCACAATTTTAGGGAGCATTGTAAAGACAGCGATTACGACCAGGCATAGATTATGGAGGAAGCATTGTGATTAAAGGCAATGTTCGTATTTGGTTGACTCTAATTAGCCTAGTGTAAGAGTTTCCAAATGGTTTAGTTTGCTTTCTAAGGCGAAATAGGGCTCTCAATGGTCCAAAATCTTCTTCTCAGATAATCGCCGGGGGCAGGCGGCCATGCCATTTTTGGGTAAGCGGGCACCGGAAAAATAGTTTGCTGATTTCTTGCGGTCCGCTTGCAGATATTTGAAAGAATTTCAACGAAATTTTGAACGAATGCTTGAATAACAATTGCGGTTTCCTTGCAGATTAGCTGCGGCGCAGTGGCCGCATTCTCGCGGACTTTCCGCGAGAATATGCAAAATTTTCGGGGTCCGCACGGTCCTTTGTGGAGAACCGCGCAGCCCCCAGGTACTTTCCGCTGAGAGAAAGTACCCCAAACTTGAGTAATTAAACCATCGATGACTCCTCTGCCATGTAGAGTCTCACCTTTGCTCGGCGTACACCCGAAACTGCTTGAAAACCGTCCGAGCGCCAGCTGAAAATTTGACCAGCGCTCGCTGAAAGAGATTATTTGACGAGCGCTTCTGTGTTGCTGCCCGCTGGCAGAACATTAGACAGTAAAGGAAGTGCCGCCCGCTGAAGGTTTGGCCACGTCCCAAAATTCTGCTGAGCGCCTGCAGAAAAACGCGAGTTTGCGGACCGCCTGCCCTCGGCAATTGTCTGAGTTGAAACGCCTACCGCCTATAGTAATACAGGGGTCGTTGATTTGCTCCATACTGTAAATCTAAGTTGAGCTAGCTTCACAAGATGGTACCTGAAGTTAGGCAAAAGACTTCTAGGAAAAAGAGATATGAACGATCAAACAGTGTATACGTACTTTTGGGACATCCTGTATAATAAACTCAAACCTATCGTTACAATGACTTGCTGCTGGACTATACATCAGGATGCCAGTTTGCTTGTAAGTGTTTGGCACTACTGTTTGGAGACTATCAGATCGTTCTTTGTAAGAACCTGAAATCATTGCAGTGCCAAGAGAAGGTCGTATTCCCATGGAATCTTAACTATGCCAGTGGCCAAAAGTGAAGGCGGTTTTTGCAAAGAAACTGTATACTTAGTTTTCTAGTAGTTTTTATAGTCATTTTCGCGTGGTGATCATTGTACTTTTTTCTTGGGAAGGGCCATTTCAAATCAAGTACCTTCCCTTGTGAGTAACTTGGTGCCTTTGCATCCAAAGTGCGTTCATGAAAAGTCAGGCGATCGGAACGCAAAGTTTGCTAGGCTTCCTATCCTAGCAATAAAAACTAGCAGCCACCGCGCATTCTTTTTAAGAATCATGAGTGATGTTCGGAAGCAACAAGCTGAAGTCACACTCAGTAACCACATAACTCGCGAGAAAGTACTGTCAATGGTTTGGCCGTTTGATATGAGATGCACCGGCTAAGGCATTTTTGGAGGCTGTTTTAGTTAGAAACCCTTTTGCATTTTGAGTTGAGTTAGCTAGGCACTTAGAACCGTTTGCACACACTACAATGTTTTTGACACACTGGACCTTGAAAAAGAGAATTTTCCGGCATGGCTGCATGCAATAAGTGCCTCTTTACCGGATCAGGGCTCGGCACAGGTGGCTTATAAGCAAGCTGGATATTATTTTTGGGACAAAAAGCAAAGGGATATCGTTTTTGCGGTCTGAAAAAACACAAGTTAGGTTAGGTTCTTTAGTTGACGTTTCCGATTTTGGGTCAAAGAGGACTTCGTAAAATTTTGCAATAGTCAAAGGGGATTCGTTTCTTGCATATTGGGAAGGCACCACGTACCGAGCTCTGTACCAATTTCGAAAATGAACTCTCGCCCCTATTATGCCAGCATACTAGCCACTACATCACTCAACCACTAGCCTGCCTAGCAGCGTCTTCGATATCAAGGAGCGCCCAAAACGGAATTTTCACTCCCACAACTACTTTCAGAAGAGAGATTTACAGAAACGGAATGCAGATTTGAAATCAGCGTTTAAAAATGCTTTGGGCGGTATGCATCTCACATCAAGGGCAATGGTCATTGGAAGTATTTCCCTTGTCAGTAGCATTACATTACAAAGTAACAGTTCTCTCGCACGCTTACATGGTCTGCATCCGCTACTTGACAGCGCAATCCGGATATCAAGATCAAGCCTCGGCACATGTGGCTTATAAGCAAAGGAGATATCGTTTCTGCGGTCTAAAAACACAAGTTAGGTTAAGTTTTTAGACGACGTTTCCAATTTTGAGCCAAAGGGGACTTCGTAAACTTGCGAAAGTCAAAGACTATTCGTTTTTTTTTGCTAGTGCTAGCCATAGCTTTAAAGCCACCTAAAACTCACTGTAATTTGCTCCCTCTTGTTCGAAATTGTCTGAAAAACCGCTATTCCGTGTCAAGGCCCGGCACAGATCGTCTGGAAGCAGGCTGGACATCGTTTTTCAAGCAAAAAGCAAAGGAGATACCGTTTTTACGAATCGGGGCCGAACACCAAGAATAAGCGCTATTCAGTCGAACACAAGCTTTTCGGCCAGGTTATCACACGATCGGCATGCTCGTGTATGGCGAAAAGTGCGCGCGATTTGAAAGCAAGGCTAAAATAACCAAATTGCTTGTTTACAGCCCACACTGAATCATATGACACCAAAATTGAAATGTATGCATAAAAACTTGTTTGCAAAAGAATTATGCAAAAATATTTGAAAACTTATGTGAAGTACTACCTTTTCTAAATTTAGTCCGCCTCCAGACGGTCAGCAGATGATCTAAGATCGTCTGGAGCATATATTTCTGTCGCTTCACAAAACTTTCGGATTTTCCTGTCATGTACGGATTCCCCGGTCAATAATCTATCCTTGAGCATGAAGACATTTTCTTTATTGCATTAAATTTTCCATAAATCGCATTGTTAAATATTGCGTTCCAATGCCAAACTCTTGTGCATGCGCACTATTCAGCTCTAATTGGGATTTTCACTCCTATCTTACGTTTTTTCTTTCATAGTCATCTTTCTCGTTTTCATCTTCTCCTAAGTAGGTAAGTCGAAAGGGACTTCGTAAAACTCCCGAAAGTCAGGGGAGACTTCGTTTTTAGAAACCCTAGAAACCGACTCGCGTCGGGCCATGCTCCGTGTGCAAACTAACGTCTGTCATTGACCAGGATGGCTCCCAAATTCATTGGTATTGGCCGGAGAAAAATTGAATTTGAAAAAAGGGGTTCCAAGGCTGGTCACAGCTATAAAGCCACCTCTCAATTCTAATCAATACTACGTGTTTTGAATCTCAAATTTTTTGTACATACACAACATCAAAATATAAAACATTTATCACACTTGGAAGCAGTCGCCTCTTCAAAAAGAAGATTCATCCTGCATTTTTACTTCAAAATGTATAAAAAGTTATGTTTAGAAAAATGCCTTTCCACCGATTATCAAGCTTTTGATTGACTCGAATGAAGGTTCTAGGCTTCGCCGAGCCTTTGCAATAAATATGGTGAACAGCGCAGGAGTAAACATGGCGTAGTCGCTGATCTTGACGAGCCTCAACCTCACCTCCAGGTAGACGAGTTTTCGAACCGCAGAAGCTGAGTTTCAATGCCCAAAAAGCTCTGCCACGTGCTCAGCACGTCTCCTGTAGAACGACAGGCTCGTGCGCATAGCTTGAACGTCATCGCAACTCTCAGGATTTGGTTCCGCCTTGAACGCCTTTTTTCCAAAAATGAGTGGTGCACTCTGCCTGATCATGACACACTCTGACCTCTCGATCGAGCGGGAAGCTAAACTTCAAAATTCTAGTATTCCTGTCAGTTTTGTAAGATTTGACTTGAAGAGGAGTTCAAAACAGTAAAATTTGAAGTCATGTGAGATACACTGCGCACAGAACTGCGGACAAAGCTTTCTAAGTTCGCTGCAAATGCGTCTTTGTAAGAAGCCTGACAGCTTCTGCATGAGTACGTCACCATGCAAACAAGGTGTCAACTTCCAACCGAAAATTTTCGCGCGTCAGAAACCGAGTTTTACGTCTCAAGATGAGGCTCGTTTATCATTGTCAGCGACTACGCCATGTTGACTCAAGCGCTTTCACCGTACTCCTTGCAAAGGCTCGGCGAAGCCTAGGACCTTCATTCGAGTCAAACAAATGTTTGAGAATTCGGTGAAAAGGCAGTTTTTTAAACATTATAACTTTTTATATATTTGAAAAAAATGCAGAATGAATCTTCTTTTTAAAAAGGCGACTGCTTCCAAGTGTAACAAATGTTTCTATTTTGACGTTGGGTATGTAAAAAAATTTGAGATTCAAAACATAGTACTGATTAGAAATGAGAGGAGGCTTTATAGCCGTGACCAGCCTTGGGAACCCCTTTTTTCAAATTTTTCAATTTTTCCTCGGCCAAAACCAATGAAATTGGGAGCCGTCCTGGTCAATGATATGACGTTAGTTTGCACCACGGAAAAGTGGTTTTTCAGACAATTTCGAACAAGAGCGAGCAAAGTACAGTGATTTTTAGGGTGGCTTTATAGTTATGGCCAGCACTTTATTTGGAAAGCTACCTCATGCAAGCTTTGATCAAGAGATTGCCATCTGCACTCAAACTGCACAATCTTCCTTGTTAGATGCAGCGTATTGGGATGGGCCGATGCAAAGTACTTCTCGTAGTCAATCACTTTCGACTAAAAAAAGGAATCCTTTATACAAACATCAATTCAAATATATGTGAGGGTCATAATTTCAAAGCTGTACGAGGTGAAAGCGTAGCTGGGGTAGTAGTGATAAGAGTCGGTTTTTTGATAGTACGAAGAGACCGCGTCGAGGTCAAAGCCCGATTTGTGAGCACCGGTGTGAGATCCTGATCCTGCACCAAATGCGTAGCGCTAGCGCTTCTCTTTCTCATCCGTTCACTTGAATTTCTGAAAATCACAGGCTAAGAGGAAGTTGTAGAGAAATGGTTTCAACTTTACTCAAGACTCAAGGCTTTGCATGCGAGATATCAAACAGTAGACCTTACCTTACGACGTTTGCAGAGCAGGAGAGGTGCCGATCGGCAGTGGTTGCTCTAGAGCAGGTAAAAAGCAATTTGAGCTCTTTCTTCAAATCGAAAGAGAAATAACCGTATAGATAGGGAGAGATGGCAGAGTTAAAAACGGCAAAAGCATAAATGAATTTTCGCACATCTTTCGGGATCCTGAAAATTTGTTCTACAGAAGAGGCCAGAAAAAGGAATCTACTTTGGGCGAAAGCGAACAATGTTTCTTGTGCTTGTATAAATCTTAGTCTTTGATCACTCACCAATCTGTTTTAGTAAGAAAGTGCAAGAACATCATAATTGCGTAAGGCGTCCAGCAACAAATGAAAGCGACCACAATGACAAAGGTCATCCTAAAATACAAAATCAAAATGATACAGCGACCTTTGCTGTTCAATCACCACATAAATTATGGGGGATTTTCGACGAGAGTGTTTTAGAAATTTTTTTTCGAGAAAAGTGCCGAATAAGCTGTGATGTATTAACAAAACCCCTTGTACTCTAGATCAGGGCTTCTCCACCTTTACCAAATGCATGGAAATCAAATGTTTTGATGCAACAGTGTGTCTTCTTTGATGACGGTCAACAAAACAAACACGTAGAGCGCTAAAATTCTGTCCTCCATATTCATTCGTAGTTTTTGGACACGGCGACTTGTTTATACTTTAAATAATCAATGCAATTTCCAAAAAAATTTTAAAAATTGAAATTAGTCTTATAAAAAAATTTTCGGGGGCGTAATGCCGCCACGCCCTCTTTCTTTAGAATTCCTCTAGAATTTTGGGGTCATGGGCCCGAAACTCAGGAAGCATACCAAAAAAATTTTTGACACCATGCACCTTCTTCGGAAAAATTTTTTGTAGCGTCCCCCCCCCCCTCCCTCCCTCTCGAACGGAAATCCTCGCGCTACACCACTGTTACAGACTCATGTTTGAATTGCTTGGTATAGTGTCTATCAATAACAAACACTCGCGCATAAACTTTTGCATGATAAACCTGAGTAGACAAGTGCGGCTGCAACTATAAACAGTAATGAATTGATAGCTTGAGATAAAGCTCGTTCAACTACAATTCTACAGGTTAGACTTGACGTTTCAAAAACGAATCGCTGAAGTATGATGAATTTCATTTACCTTTCATGATTTCAATGATAATAATAGCTTTTTTGCACTGTAAATATCTTTCTTGGAGTATGCTCTTGTACACTATTTCTGAGAGGACATTAGGTCGCCAAAGGGCAGCTCCAGCGGGGACAACTGCAATAAGTGCACTTCCCCAGCTCGTGGGAGTAGTCCGAGAGGGTGGAGCTTATTGGAAACCTTCAGTCCTCTCCTGTCTCTGTATCAGATAGCGATGGTTTGTGTCCATATTGGTGATTTTTACAAAGTATCTAAATGTACCAAAACTTTAATTAGATTACCAAAAAACGCCATAAACCCCAATTTTGAGCTTCGGATTCTGCATATATCTCCCTATTCTCTAACTGTACACAAACCTAATATGCTCTATCCCTAAAAGACAAACCACTTTGAAGGGAGGTATAAAGTATCGTTTCCCCTCATTTTGGTCCGGTATAAACAAACACTTCACCAACCTTAATGTCCTACTCCGTGCTCTTTCGAGAGTGTTGACACCGCTACGGCGAAGCAGGCCATCAGAAGCCAGTTCTGCTGGAATTAAGCAAAATCATGATTTCTCATCATATAAGTCCAAAATATAGCTTGCCTTCTTTTTTCTTGGCAGATGATTCTTCTGATATTTTCCAAAGAATTAGCGAATAACAAACGACAGTGACAATAAGTGGAAAGAAGTAGACCTGTATGATGTTGAGAATGGAGAAGTAGAAAATAACCTGTAAGGGAGCACTCTTCACAACGGAATCTGTGTGCAAGGACATAAAATCTTTTCTTTACAAAAGCGAAAAAAAGCTCACCCCTGTAGAGATTTCGTTGACGAGATTTCTGGAAACACATTGCGTGTATGTTGGGTAACATGGATGAGTGGCGGTTTTAAAGAGGTAGAACTGGAATGAAAAATAGCAGCATTCGACGATGGAGCCGCGGCTTTAGCTAATGCTTCTGACTGATTCCCTGGAGGAATCACTGGCACCGAACACCATTTCTTTTTGTTTTTCACACGCTGGTTTGTTTTGCTCTTGCGCGTGCAGTGAGAATGTTTGGAAGTTCGACCTTCAAAGGCTAGCAAAGCTCATAAATTATCTCCTAACGATACTGGGTCAGACGCGTTGGGTAACATTCAAAGTTGGGCAAATTTGCTTTCAATATTTTTGGCATCTGTCAAAGCTCAAGCAAACCCATAATTTTGAAAACGCTGAAATTACCTGTGGAGCACTTGTGAGGAACGAGGTGATCCAAGCAACGATCACCATTTTCTGTACGCTTTTCCGCGCACGCATTGCATACAGAGGGAAGAATATGGAGTAGAATCGGTCAAGGGAGATACAGATGAGAATGTTCATCGACAGCGCTATGCCGAATACGTCGAAGAACTTGCACGTACGACACAACTGAAAACACGAACCTGAACTGATTTCTAAAGAATACTATTGTTCATGAACTGTGATGCAATGTTCCGAACGCTGTTGGACCTAGCGACAGATTTTCCAAATCCAAACAAGGCACTATCTACGCAAGGCTACAGATTTTGCTGGAATTTGCAAATGGCGTGGTGAGCATGGGAGTGATATTATACTGCATGGTTGAACCTTTCCTGGGTTATGGTAGGTGCTGCATCGGGTCAAAACCTGAGATTGGCTGTAACCTTGCGCGAAGGGGTCCATGCTGTAACCTTGCGCGAAGGGGTCCACTGCGTGTTGAAGCCTCTATAATGAATCGAGGTGAGATCCCATACCATGTACCTACCGTGACTGCACTATGAAGTGGCATCGATGGGAATGGATATGATTTTCGTGGTCAGCATGTCTAACTATTCTATGTTGCAGATTCCGACTCTGTTGCAAGCCTATTGTATTCCACAAAGCATCTTCTTTCTTGATCAACACGCAAAAAGGCCTCCGTGTGTAAAGACGTCAGCGAAATTCGAGATTTGGCATTTTGTATTGTGATACTGCCCTTAACCATTTTAGTTCTAAAAATCTTTGCGAGATCTACCTTTTGGACCACAAACTTTTCGTCAATCAAAGCCAAAAGGTCGTATTGTCGTAGTGTCAAATTAGAAGACAGAAGTACTATGTCGTTTATGCATTATAATGCTATCAAATTCGTGAGTTCTGTGTAAGCAAATGCATTGAGACTGGCCACTCTTCAACCTCAAAATTTTTATAGCCCAGCGTAACAATCTTTCTCCTTTTTCAATATTCATAAAAGAGATTTGGTGCAATTTAGGCAGTCACAATCGGCCCACAAAATTTTACTTTGAAGATCACTCATTGAAAGCTTTTTCTCAGAGCTCACGAAGAGACCTTTCGTCCTACTTCCGTTTCGTCCGAGCGATCGCACGCCATCTCCTTTCCGCGCTAAAGAATATGCATGTTTACAATTTTGAGAAAATTTGGTGTTGGCATGCAATTCTCTTTGTGTACTTCCATCTGTGTCAGTGGAACTGGCAAAAAAACTACAGCTAAAACACGCTTCCAATAACATATCGGTACATTTATGCACGAGCAATGTTGTTAAAAATTGTGAGTCTATGTCACGCTTGCTCGGAGACCGTGCAAAGTAATCAGACCACTTTCCGGTATGCAGACACCGAATATGACCGGCCGCGGGTTCAATAACTTCTCAGGAATTTTTAATAACTTCTCAGGAATTTCTAATTACGTGCCTATGGGCGGATAAAAACACAAACCACAGAAATTTTGTGAAACTTCCCATCAATTTTTTTTCATAAGGAAAAATTGTTATTTTATAGGAACGAGTTCAGAGCAACTCGATCGAAAAATCATCTTTCTTTTTTCTTTCACCGCACTCCCTCTGGAAACGTCGAAAAAATTAGCACGAGAGTTCTTTTACATTTTACTTAACAAATGCAGCTTTGTTTGCGTCTAAAAACTTCCAGCGTAGTTTTGAGGACAAAAGAGAAAAAATAGAAAGTAGCCACATACATGCATTAGCTCTACTGCCGCGCAAACCCTGGATCTTCGGTGAGTGCACTTTTCTACTAATAAACTCAACAAAGAAAGATCTTTTGCAAGCAATGAGCAAGTTTGAAAACATCGGAAATCCACTTGAATTAGACATTTTGAAAACAAGGGTCTTCACTAGCTTCACCTGGAAAAGGAACAAAATCTTTTACAAGTTTGAACAATTTTCAAAGTCTTTTTTGGCGCCAAAGCTAATGGGAAGTGGAAAATTGGCTTTATTTGTGAAAAATGGCCTGAGTGATTTAAGGCTCGTTGTTTGCGATGGGAGCAAGATTTAGCCAAGTCGAAAGTATTCATAAAGTATTCATTCGAGTTTTCTTGACCATTGTCTCAAACAGAGTTTGACGTCTCTCATGCCACAATTTGTCATATCATTGTCTGCTTGTTCTAAATGAGACATTCCATGGGTCCACCCAAGACTCGCGCAAGAACGATGTTTCGCAGCTGAAACCCTCATCAATATCCAGCTTGTCCCTGTGGCAGCCGTGACAGGCTCTGCTGCGATTGTTTATAAATTCATTTTGCAACATTTTCTGGGGATGATGTGATTTTGCTTGGAAAGAAAGACATAGGATTAGAATTCGATACACAAGGCATGTCAGTTCCTTTATCGACTGTGTTTTTCCCTCAGGTCTCAATGGCCCCAATGTAAGTCTAGCTTGAGAGTTGACCCTGCAGAATCCCCGTAATTCCTGCAAAATTTTCGAAGAAAGCTTCTGTCGTGCCAAATTTTAATGCCAACATCTTCTCACCGATTCACAGACTTCTAAATGCTTAGATTTCAGCTACGTAATTTCAAGAAAGTTTGCATTTTTTGATAGAAAAGTGACTGGACGGACTATTTGAAGCGCGGAAAATCACGACAAGGCCATCGAACACTTTCGCAACTTACAATATCGCCTCCATACCAAGCGATCGTGTAATTGTGTAAGATCTCCTTCGGCATGTAGAATAGCGTAACCATTAGATGAGCTATGTTCATCTGTAGTAGCAAAGAGTGTACCCGTCGCACTTTGATCCACTGATTCCTAGAATTTGCGCATAAATCTGGGGACAAACCACAAAAAAAAACTAAGCACCTGCAGAGGATGAGAAACATTGTGAAATTCCCGACGAACGCTATGATGAATACTATTATATAACAAAGTACTATGGACATTATTGAAGAGGTGACCGTCAAGTCGGGCGGCGGTATCTGCGAGCAATTCAGCATCTGAAATTTGTAATTGAGGAAATTTTAGTTGGCGAAAGGATCTTGAGCAACGGAAGATCAGCAAAGATGGCATCCCGGACATAATCCTCTCGTTGCAGAACATGCAATTTAATGGAATGAGATCTTTGACTGAGCTATTCATTCATTTGCACATATGATACATTTTTTCATTTATTTATAAATATTCTCAAGTGCATCAAAATGGAAAGTCAAAAAGAAAGTTCAAACAGCACATGAGACCAGCCAGTCCTTAGCTTCAGGGGTAAAAGAAAATCAAGGATGGATAACAAGACACGAAGCTCTAAACCCATCTAAGACTAGAAAAAACGAGCATTTCCAAAAAAAATCTGAATCTTGCATTCTCAAAACGGTACTTTTCCGTTATCCGGACCCATTTTTTCAAAGAAGGATATTTCTTTTGACCATGCACATATTTGGTCTCAGTTTCATAGAAAGTAGTGTCAGCTTTCTGCCACGTGTCAAAAAAATTTGACACGTCATCTACATGTTTAACAGGTTCAACAAGGGTTTGTGTTGCACTATCTAGCGACTTAAGCTCAATCTGGATTCTAGTCAATAATGACCTCATTTTCAAAAAAACAATTTCAGAAATGAACACTGTTATAATAATAATGTCATCTTGTTATCAATGAATAACTTAGACCTGCACAGAATGGAGAAGGGTGCTAGGATTCCGTCATCCAAGCGGCGAAACAAGCAGCAGCGAGATACTGCAAGTCATCATTTATAGTCTCTCCTGGCTAAATTCGCATGGCGGAAAGTTTGAAGAGAATAACAAATTGGATTTATTGCTGAAAGCAATCAAGATGTTCTGCGATAGTTCTAGACAATTTTGTTCCTATAGAAAACAGCTGAAAGGATTTTAGATGGTCAGAATTGTTTTATACCTCACCGGAGATGATTTCAAAAAAAAAACAGATCAAAATGGAATAAAACGCGTCAAATTTTTCCTGACACGTGGCGGGAAGGCAGTCTTTGTAGAATCTATAAAAAATTGTTCTTAGACTAAAGAATGTATTTTATGAGAGCCTTTTGAAGAAATGGGTCCGGATAACGGAAAAGTACCCTCAAAACTCATGTGAACCCGTTTTTGGGTGTCAGCGAGCCCCCGGTAAAAGCTTGCCGGCCTGACCTCGATATTTTTTTGAAACATAGCAAGATTCTGAATCTTAGAATACTACATATATATAATATGTAGGTATAAAGAAAAGCTTGTCCGTGGTTCGAGAGGTCGTTATCCGAAGTTATCAGAAAAGGAAAAAACAGGCAGAAATTAAGTACCGGAGAACAATAGTAAAAAAAGCCTTGTCTTCTTATCATTTGAAGTTTCAGAAGAAGTGAGTGGCTACAAAACTCAAAGTTGCCTATCCTGTTGAAATCTTTCCAAAACTCATTTAAGCAAACTGCAACCAAATTCTGAAAACCAGCGAAGTGGAAGATGACGGAGGCTAAAAACGGGTGTACATTTTCGCAGATTTGCAAATCATAACCGTGTGGACATTTTTGAAGCTCATGCTCTGTGGCACAAATTTTAGAATTTATGGGTCTATTTTTCCAAATTTTGATATTGGATTTTCTTTGCGGGAAACCTTGTTTTTAACTGAGAATGTGATGAAAAACGAATTTCCCCAAAACTGGAGGTTCAAGATTTTTTACTCTTTGCCTTATATTATGAAGTTATTATGAGCAACGATTTTGTGAAGCTCAACTTGTGCTGATATAACTTTGACTACAGTGAAAATACGACATTTTAATGGTATTATTCGCCAGGATGGGAACTGATCAGAATCAAAAAAAAACATGTTCATAATAGATCAAAATCAATTGCTGAGCTAATTACGGTGCATGGGTTGTCCCTAATCAACCCTGCGTTGTAGGCAAAGTGAAAAAATCGAACTTCCCTCTTGATGGAAAGAAACAAAAACGTATAGAGCTTATACAGAAAAAATATCGAAAGCACTCAGATAGAAGGAAGGAGTGCTCAAACGCATGTTTTGTCTGAGTATATTAGCGCGAATTCCCATGACTGCGTAGGAAATTGTACCCTCGTTTTTGTAGCAAATGATTTTCTTCAATGAATATTAAGGATGTTTTCGATTGCCGACAGTAAAAAAATTGTAGCAAAACATTATACTAGTTACTGAAAATGAAAAAGGTGATTTATCTGAGATATTATACCTACTGAGTCAACGCTGCCTACGTACGTTGAAGGAAATTTATTCCACGTTCTAATTTTGCGCCCCCTATTTCAAGCTCAAGATAATGAAATTTTTTGTCAAATCTAGATCATGCTCATTTAGCTCAATGAACCTCATTTAATCAACTTTATTTCAGTCAGCTCAATCGCTGTCATATTTAAAGCCTATAGCCTAGAACATGATGGATATTTTGGAACCATATAGCAGGATTCTTTGCGGAAAAAAAAATGGAGGCAGTTGTAACTGTAGACTTGAGCCGAGAGATACAGAGCTATGTAACATTGGCATCAAATGTTATTCATACCACAAATGCACCAATTCATATCCACGTTTCTGCTTCTGGAGTCACTTACAGTCATGTATCTCTAAAAATTGCTACCTCGATTTATAGTAAACGTTCTTTAAATGGAATTGACTTACTGTTAGAAGAGTAAATGCCGATCCGTCTTATTAGAGGCTTGCTACTTGAATGCGAAAAGTTTATTTTGAGGCAGCTATGTCTCCACCAACGATTAGTTATTTTTTGTCGCTCTCGAACTATTCGGTCGGCACATAGGTCTTTTCATATTCCTACCTATAAACTGATATTCTTCAAAACTAAGGCATCCACTAGGGTGCAAATTTGTGGGAGTGTTCTTGAGTGAACAAGCTGTACACTTATTTGCAGGAGCATAGACCTCTTATAGGCAAAGTGTGAAAATTGAGCGCCATATTGTTTCTCGATTTATAGCCGTCAAAATGTGCAGCAAGTTTATATATGAATATATATAGTGGGGAAATTATATGCGTGAGTAAGTAGGAAATTTGCAGAATGTTTTTGAACTAAGACAATTGTTTTCGTTTTTTCGCAATTTGGATTTTTTTCCATTTTGTCTTGAAACTCGATGCGGATCAAGGCTGGTACGAGCTTTTAAAAGCCATAATCTAGAGCTTGCTTTGATCTTTCTGGTGCCTCGCATTGGAAATCTAAGAAGAGCAGACTCATGCTGGTGAAAAGTCAGATATGAAAAGATTTGTGGAACAACCTAACACTTACTACAACCACACATATCTCCTTAAAAAGCAAGAAGCCTGCAAAACCGTGGAAAACTTGCCGAATATGTACAAATGTGCCAAAGTTACGCCAGGTTTTCTGCAAGCTCCTTGCACCCCATTAAAATCTTGATAACCGATAATGCATAAATATATAGAAAGATTATTGAAAAGAGAAGCAGCAAGTGAGCCTTTCAAATAAATGATCTCCAGCACTGATATTCAAAGCACATATGGCAATTCTTTCTCTAAGAAAATTTGAATAAAGAATTTTCGAATTGTTTCTGGTTCCAAGTGCGTTCACTAAACGATTGCCCTAATAGTAATTTTTGCACAAAACGCAGCATAGCACCTGTTTTATACAAAAAACCATCACTCAACTTACGGAAATTTGGATATTGGTTAGAAAAGAAAAAAAATTTAGCCAAACTCTCCGAGAACGGGATCCAAAAACTTTTTAAACTATAATAGCTCGTTTTGAAAATAAAATAAAAGGTCTGCTATTAAGAAGGAAGAATTTTTCTGATAGGCACAATGAGGAAACAATTTGATAAAAGGTCAGGTCAGGGAAAAACACTAATTAACAATAGAATCATATTAACATTGATTAATTAGCTTTTAATACTAAAAAAGCGCATATTTTTAAAAGGGCATATTGAAGTAGGACTGCAAAAGTAGGCATAAGAAAGCGGTAAGGAGCATTACCAAGCTCAGACACGAAAATAAAAGTTTCAATTCATTTTTAATAAGTTCAGTGTATCTCGTTGTCAAAAGGTAGAGTTGATCGTTTGCTAAAATGTACGCCTAACAATAGTACAAGTGAGTTCACATTGAAGGTGAATATTTTACATGAGTAAAGTGAACTTTTTGATATCCTTCAGTCTTCAACTTACAAACTCTCTCAAAAAATTTACTGCTAAGAATTAAATCATATTTCCCGATCTAACTCTAAAGAATTGCATTGATCAAATCTTTTGAGGACAAAAAAAAAACAGTTGGGCGAGTATCATTTTTTGACGAAAAAAAATGAACGTTCTGATAGTCCAAGACATCTTTAGATGCATACTGAATACAGCCGAGTGATGACAAAAAGCACAGGATCATGCAAGATTTGGGTGCTATGAACCAAAAATCTGCTAGTACTGCAGCAGTGTGCAAATTAAGGAAAAACAAACACATCAACTACTAAATAACTTTGAAAAATTGTATTTGTAGGAGAAGGAAGATGTCAAACGATGAGCCTAAAAAGAGACCGCAGGCAATGAAATCCCAACAATATGGTTATTGCTTGAACATCAAGGAATAAACAACCTAAGATGACAAGCATAACTACACGTTCTCGGTCACGCAAAGTATAGTTTTGAAAAATTTGGTGCCTATCGTGCCAATTTTTCGAATTTATGAGGATAAATAATCGAAGGTATATGAATTTTTTGGGAACGCAAGAACGAACTTGTCGAGAGATTTCATGCTTCAAAGGAGTAAATCAGCGGTGTGGACTTCAGCTGACTTTGAGTGGATGTAAAAAAGATAAAACTCAAGTGAAGCATGTTTTGGAGCGCTGAAAACGCGCTAAATGGGCAGAATTCTTGGCAAAGAGGTCGTCGATTATCGTCTGGGGATTCATAACGGCGTGATGAGGTGGCCGGTCCCGGAAGGCTCGTGGTGCCGCGTTATCTCGTGCCAAGTGTTCTGTAGGGGAGGGGGGGGGGGGGGAGGGTGGGGGGCTCTACAGGGCCAGTTCGGCAG